AAAGTACGTCAGTATTGCAATTAAAAAACTTTATTTAATGTTTCTAAAATGCAAACAAACACAGTCAGCTTGCGTGAAAAATGAGCATGCGGTAGATTGTACCCAGAACTCGTTTTCTGATAGTTGAAATCAAGCATCGCAAATTTATAGGCACTCAACGTTCATTCCGATTATCTTTTTTATTATTGTACAATAACGTTTATACTTTAACAACTATTTTCACTATAACATAGGGACATGGGTTACTTCATATTAGGAATACCCTGGGTGTTATATTACAATTTCCACATCTTATGGTTTTGCGATCATCAAATCTAACTTTAGTAATAAAACAATTCAATATATCCAATATTTTTCTGATAGTACGACCTTACTCTATTATCACATGCAAAATTTATTTCCAAATATTTATTTATTAAATAATAAATAAGTTTAAAATGCTCATCTCAATGTAATCTGAAAACATCCAAATTCTAAAATCTTATTTTACAATGACTATAGGCATAATCTAATAATGAATCTTCTACTAAATAGTTTTCAATCCAAGAGCAATAAACTCATGGTGGAACCAATAGATAGCGTTTACTAGTTTAGCAGAAACGCCGCTATCTCATATTAGGCGCCTATCTCATAATAGGGGGCTTTTTTCTATATATAAAATAGAACGTATTCAAGAGAGAGATCTTATTTATAATTAATTCTTTTAAATTTATAACCTTTTCTCTCCTAACGCTGGCTATGTTCGGCAAACGCAAAGCGATAGACGAACGCTATCTACAGCCAGCATTCGCGAAGTAATTTATAGTATTCCTTATAGTAAGAGTTACGACAAACTATCCTGTACAACCACATACGAAGAGTTGTTAACACTGATTTTGTCAAATAATGAATATTTAAACATAATTTGTAGTGGTAGTATATTGATACATATAATGCCACTGCCATGAAAGAGATAATTGAAAAATGGTTTACAAAGAAATTATAATTACCTTATTTTAAGGGACAATCCCTTTTTTTCAAAAACATGATAAGGTGGCGATGTCCATGCTATTCGAGCATAAAATAATATTTTAAACGCCAAAAACTGTCCACATATAATGTGTACACTTTTGGCGCGGGATCAATGGCGGTATTCCGACGGACCACTCGCTTTCTGAGCGAAAGAGTTAACAAAACTGTTTTTATCAAGTGTAATGATAGCATATTTTCTTTCAGACGTATGCCACAGTTTTGTCCTTTAGGATAACTCTTTCGCAGGTATATAACAGACCTTCCATTCTCGCAGTAATGCATGAGAAATTTTGTTTGATTATGGTTTGATATGAATAAGATTCGCGCGCGCGTATATAATTAAATGCATTATAATTAAATCAAAATCTCGGATTTTGTTATAACAATTAGAAAGAATTTCTGGTTGTTATGACAAGAATCGAAATTTTATATCTAAACTATAATTATTTTATAAGTATTATATTATTTATTACATTATAAGAGGATTTATTTAATATTTTTCAGTTTGGTTGGTATTAGGGTTGCCATCCCTCTGGATTTCCCCGGATTTGTCCTAGTTTTGAAGGCGTCGTGGAGCGTCCGGGCGGGTTTTTCGGTCACAGTATTATTACATTGCATGATACATTATTTTTATATTAGTCTAGATATTTCATCAAGAAGTGTGAAACTTAGCCTGTTGGATTACTTATACTTCTTATCGTGAGTAAATTAACATGAACGCGTTTAAGGAAGAATTTTTTTTATATATACATATATAGATACTTATAATATATGTGTATATATTGTTACGCTCGCACGTTTCGCATAGAGGACATATTAATCGCACCGAAATAAATGTGCACAATAGTACAACGGGAATGAGAACTTTATTGAAAAATGACAGAAATGTTAAAAGCTCAGAACTGTAGGATATATAATGGAATTATTCAGAATAATTTCGATCGGAATTAATTATTCCCTTTTTTAAACACAATAGAAATGAAGAGAAAACGGAATAATTCCGATCAAAATTCATTCTGATTTATTCTATATGATAGATGCCCTGAACACAAAACCACTATGGTGTAGGGAGATCCTCTTTTGTGATCTCATTTCTTGGCGATCGATAACAGGTGGTCTGAAGTATGGGAGCGACTTCGACGCAATATGAATACATATGTATATTTTTTTAGAGATAAGTTTGTCACAGAAATATGCGAGTTAAACATAGATGATTAGAGCATAGATTAGTGAAATATAATAATAAAAAAAGTGCAGCAGAGGAAAAATGGAGAATGTAAATATAGAGAGAATGCAGGCCTGATTTTTGTCGCTGCATTTAAAATTTTCTGTCTTACTGTCTTCAAATTTTAAATATCTATTTTATTTTAAGTATGTATAATGTACTAGTTTAGCAACAAAAAAGACCTAAATTGTCGAATTTTTATGTTCTTTTTCAGAGTTTAATTTCTGAAAACTTAAATTCTAAGAGATCTAAAAAAACCGAATTTTCTCCTATATATTTGTAAATTTAAGTAAATTTTTATTTCGCTGTACATTTAGAATCTTGAAAATCTATATTTGAATTACAAAAATTAACTAAATAACATTTCTTGTATTTAAAAAATTGCAATTTAGTTAATTTAATTCGATTTTGAAGAGATTATTCTCAAGAATATATTGATAATCGTTTTAGCTAGAATTGACGGGTCAAGAGAATTGTATTTAGCATATAGGTAGTATAGAATATAGATTTTTATACTCATTGTAAATATTCTGATAAATATGTGTAAAGAATGTAAAGGCGAGAACGAATCACATCAACAGCGGATCCATAATTCGTATATTCTTATTGCCTTGCTTTGTCGAAGCCACAGTGCATATCTGTAGATTTGTAAGTGCATAAAATGTATTATATTATTTTATCAGCAACATGGAATCATTGTCGATAAATTATCCTTAAATAATTTATCCATAAATTAAAATTATTCAAAATGTATACTTATAATTCATTTAATCAATCACATAATATTTTTTAGAAAGAAATCGCAAAAAGTTTCTGGAAATGATTGGAATTTACAACATTCTTGTCTTATGTACATATAGTTGTATGTAATATATGTCAATCTTTTATATAATTTTATATTTACATTTTTTATATTTTATACCTATATATAATTATATAAGATATATTTTTTCCCGGATTGTATAACTTCAATATATAAAATATTATTTTAAAGTTATCAGCTTCAACTCAAGTCGACACGTGTCGTTAGAAGCCATGTGAGTAAAAAGTATCCATTAAACGCATTTGCACCTAGTATGAAGATATAATATTGTAAGTATAGTTATGAAACACATGAATAAATATTCCGCAAAAAGAAATGCAATATAATCTAGATTATCTGTGTACTCAATTCTGTCGTTCAATACTTGCTGGTTGAAGGGCATATACATACGTTATACAACATTATATATTTAAATAATTATAGCGTTGTATATTTAAATAATTATAGTATTTTCTATGAAATAAAGTATAACACAAGATTTTTTAGCACATATTTTATCTTTTTCAAATTCAACTATTTTTTATTTATTGTCAATAACGCTGCACGTTTTATTAACGTCGTTAAATAACAAAACATGAGGCATAGAGTAGGATATATACCAATAAAAATTCATTCAAAGTGTAATATCATCAGAATTATCTCATGGCTTTTACAGGAGGTAGTAAATAGCATTAGATTTCATGAAAAAAGTCAATATCATGTACAACTAAATCAAAAAGGATAAAGCATTTGGAACTGATCCGCAAGTGGTACATGGGGTTTAATTGCTGACAATTGTCATTACTTCATTTAATTACTGTTAAAACATATAAAACGGTACCGAATTGAAATAAAATCATTCATAATGTAATCTTTATGATCGATCATAACTATTAAATTTTTCATTAAATGTTCGATATCATTCTAGATAAAAATATGAATTATTTTTTCAAAGGTGATCCATAACTAATAGCCTTAATATACATACATATAAATAAAAATTCCGTGAAAAGAAAGACAATCTAATCTAGATTATCTGTGTGTCTATTCCGTTATCAATACTCGTTGGTTGAACGGCATTTAACATACGTTATATCTCCCAGTGTACATATCTTACAGTGTATTTCTCACAACGTTCTTAGAGAAACTGCGAAAACTATTTCTGAAAATCTTATAAAAAATATTAAAACGTGTTTGTGCCTCGAGCAGCAAGAACTAATTCAGTTAAAATATTAGCCGATCACTCGGAAAATATGACAGAGACACTATAATAGAAAGAACGCTGGCACCATTAATGACCATCAGCGCGTTCTGCAATTTGGGCATGTTTGAATATCCTGTTGGACAACTTAGGACATATATTTCTTGCCTGTATGCTTTGGCCAAATGGATCCTTCTTATGTACTTCTTTTATTATCCAGTATACATCGGGCAATTCCAGAAATATAGAACAATATACATCGGTCGTATCGTACCGTTTGCCACCATTACATTAATTCTCATTAGTATCTGTCGTTTTAAGGTAAAAATTGAAAATGTACTCCCGGCCATTATATGCTAATACTTGATCTTTTAATATTACTTGTCATTTGTTTAATAGTATTTTTAAATGAGAGCATTAAAGGAGTCTTAAATTCACAATTGTAGGCAAATATAAATTTATGAAAAATATTTATAAAAGACTTTCGATACCTTCAACCATGACCTAATTTCAGTCAAACTCAAGCTATGCAGTCTATCTTATTCGGCCCTCGCTAAACTGCTCGTTCCTTACAAATGGCACGCAGCAAGTCGTCATATATAATCCTTCTCTCTGGAATACTCCAGGGTTCCATTCCCATAGTTTTACTTTTAATATTTTTGTCTCTGATTTGTCTAACGTTTCTCTGTCCTCCGATCTCTTCATTTATGTAGACGATGTAATTCTTCTCAAATCCTTTCATCCATTCGATGCTTTAGTAGATTGTTCTGCTTTAAATAAAGATCTAAAATCTATTGCCGAATAAACAATTCAAGTAGTGAAATATACAAAATTATAGACTTCTTTAATTAATACAATAAAATATAACAGCGAAATTTAATTGGATGTTAGGAGATTGCGCTGGGTGCTATCTTGCGCAAAAATTAATTGTAAATAATAAATTAGATTTGTACGTTTCGGTTTACGCTTTGAGCCAGCCTCAATAATAATTACCGCTAATCGTGCTAAATACTATGTCGATGTGATACTGTATATCACAAAATCGTAGTTTCCTCCAATTATGCAGTAGCAGTGGAAATGCGGTGAGAAACAACCTAGATGTTGTCCCAACCAGTTGCAAAGCTGAGTACCATATCATCAACGTACCTGCAGTAGAAAATCAAAAGGAATTCATTGGAACTCAGCACTCGATTTTCTAAATCTTGTTGCATGACTGTCAGCAATAATAGGTGATAATGGCGAACCGATCGGAGTACCAATGGTCTGTTTATACATATATATTGGGTATGAGAATAAGTTTCCGCCCTTTTTTAATGAAAAAGATGTATTTATTTAAACAAAACAATAGAAAGTAAGTTCATTCAAAGTACGCTCCATCAGAAGCGACAACTTTCCCCCACCTTTCAGGTAATAAACAGATTCCTCGAAAGAAGAAATCTGGTTCTTTTGAAGCGATCCATTTATCAAGCCATTTTTTGATATCTTCATAAGAATTGAATCGCTCTCCAGAAAGGGCCGACAGCATGGACCGGAACAAATGGAAATCTGAAGGAGCAATGTCCAGTGAATACGGCAGGTGGGACAGAATTTCCCACTTCACTCCTTCCAAGTATTTCTTGACCGATTTTGCAACGTGTGACATAGCGTTGTCACGTAGCAGAATCTGCTTATCGTGCCTATTGTCCCATTGTTTTTGTTTCAAAGCTTAGTTCAAACAAATCGCTTCGAACGAATATCAACTCCTGGGCTCAAAAGCTTGAACATAAACCTTTCAAATACATGTATTGCCATTTTTTCAAACACACAAGCAGTGCTACTAACGACATCTCTCTAATGGGCGGAAACTTATTCCCATACCTAATATATCGCTTTACCTCGTGAACCGAGATATTAATCGTTAAAGTTGGAGTGATCCCGATTGATCACGGCTCGATTGGACACCACCAATCACAGCGACCGGTGCTTAGGAGCTTTGTAGAGACCCTTTACTAGAGACTGATCATTTCGGGACTTTTGCTAATTGGTGCACGTGACTTCAGCACACTAATGGCGGCGCCAATAAGGAACGCTGTTCAGCCGAGCGCGAAAAGCAACTGATTTTTGCCTAAAAAGGTATAAGCAAAAGTAATGTTTTTTTATAGACTTTGACATCTTGAATATATTAATGTTATTAAAAAATTCGAGGCGGATAGAGAATACCTTGAAAATTAAGCGCGAACATGGTATATTTATTTTTTTTTACATGAATTTCAATATTTTTGCTTAATTTTCAAAGTGTTGCTCAAACGCTATGAACTTTTTAATATCTTTGGGTGCATTCCACTTGACGCTCGCAACGATCACGAGCATCGTTTTT